TTTTTTAAATAAAATAATAATTAAATTATGGCATCCCATTATACTATTAATTGTGTGGCGATAATCACAGCTCCTTTTATGGCAGATGTATTAGTATTTCAGCCATTCTCCATCCTTAAAAAGCACCAAGTTTCATCCCCTCGGTTATCTCAATCTGAAGTCCCTTTTAATGGAGGTCCCAGCTCAAACAACCCCAGCCTCAAAACAAATAGCGATGGCCAACAACACTCCTCCCAGTAGTGGCGGCGAACCAGACCAGAAGTCCGTCACCAGCAAGCGTTACATCCCTCTCTTGATCATCAACTATTTTTGCCTCTTCCTCGGCTCTGTCTCCTCCACTTTGCTCTCCAAATACTATTTCATCCACAAGGGATCCAGTCGATGGGTCTCCACCTGGGTCCAATCTGCTGGATTTCCTCTCCTACTCTTCCCCATTTTTCTCCCTTACTATCTATTCAAATGTACCCCCAGAAAGCCCTTCACCCATTTCACCCCACGAATGCTAGCCCTTTCCATCTCAATAGGCCTCATGTTAGGCATAAACAACCTTCTCTTCTCTTGGGGTAACTCTTATTTGCCCGTTTCCACCTCCTCTCTCCTTTTATCGTCCCAATTGGTGTTCAACCTCATTCTCTCCGTCATCATCGTCAAGCAGAAAATCACCTTCACGAATCTAAACTGCGTGGTTTTGCTCACTCTGAGCTCAGTTCTCTTAGGCCTCGGCTCCGGGCACGACAAACCCCATGGATTAACCCGAGCCAAATATTTCATAGGGTTTTTCTCCACCATAGGTGCGGGACTGCTTTTTGCACTTTATTTGCCGGTGATGGAGATGATATACAAGAAAGTCTACTGCTACTCCATGGTGATGGAAATGCAGCTGGTGATGGAGGTGGCGGCGACGGCGCTGGCGACGATGGGCACAATATGGGACGGTGGGTTTAGAGAGAGGATGGTGTTCGACAAAGGGGTGAAAGTATACTGGGTGACGGTGTTGGGGAACGTAGTGACGTGGCAGCTGTGTTTTATGGGGACCGCAGGGATGGTTTTCCTAACGTGTTCGATAACTGGAGGGATTTGCATGACGGCGCTGTTGGCCATGAACGTGTTGGGAGGTGTTTTGGTGTATGGGGATGAGTTTGGCGGCGTCAAGGCGGTGTCAACGGTGCTGTGTGCGTGGGGGTTTTGTTCCTATGTGTATGGTATGTATCTTAAGATGAAGAAAGAGAGAAACGAGAAAATGGAATCAGATGGTGATATGGACAATGAGACAATGGAGATGGTTGGGATTGTGACACCGGTGGCAGAGCATCATGTCTAATATGATGATATATAATTCATCATGATGAGTGCACTAAAGCCTAGCTAGCCCTATACTATATATATCTAGCCTCTTTTAATTATAAAATAGTTAAGTAATTTGACGCAAGTGTAAATGGTTATCCATATTACTATGTGAAAGGGTTTGAAATGGGATGAGCAGTGTACTAGTGTAGTGTGTCATATCATGTTATCAAAATTAAACAATTATTATTGCCATTTTGGATTTATGGTTGTGGGAGGGATAATGACAAGTTGGAGCAAACAAGGGTGGAACGTCAAAACAAAGTTAATTATTTAGGGTCAGTATGCACTCAAAAGGCATCAAATATTGATTAGTTGGAGAGATTTATGTTAAGTTGACTTTTTAGCTTTTAGCTTACTCTACAATTTTTTTTCCTCTGTTTGTCCTTTATGGAGTTCTGAAGATTCGAATTCTAAGGGAAGCAGGGGTGAGTTTGTAAGGAGAGTTATTTTAGAGATAATAATAAATATGTAATTTTTAATGATTTTTTATTTTTTATTATTATAAATAATCTATTTTTAACTAAATTAAAAAAAATGATACTAAAATGTACAAAAATGGACTCATGACAAAAACACAGCTCAACTATTAAACCAAAATACATTAAAAAGAAAGTGTTCCTAAAATGCATAAAAATTGGCTAAACAACATAGTTAGCTGTTGAATCAAAATATATTAGAAAGATAGCAAAAATGGGCTCAAAAACACAACTCAACTATTAAACCAAATACATTAGAAAGAAAGTGGTCCTAGAATGTACAGAAATTGGCTAAAAACACAGCTCAATTAATTGCTAAATCAAAATAGACGTAACTGGTTTCGAGCTGTTAATGAGTTGAGGTCCATTGGATTGTTATTAAACACAAATATTTGATAATCTTAAAATAAAGTAAATTTCATATTATTTATAAAGAGATAGCTCACAAGTAACTTACGAGATACTTTAACTCAATCTCATTTCTTTAAACTTAATTAAGTTAAAACTTAACTCAATTTCGATAAATATGAGTTGAATTTGATGTAGCTTAATATTTGACTTGTTTTGACTTGTTTATTTTTATAATTTAAATTTTCACTTTACCCATTTTACTAGTTTAATTCAGGCAAAATCACTAATATTTTAAGTGTTAATTAATTAAGTTCTAACAATCACTTGACACATATATACGCTTGCCAAGATCTAAAGAAAAGTGGATACATTAGAAAGAGACTTTAATTCGGAAAATGAATGTATCATATGTAATTGACTTTGGTATTAATTATATAGTCAACTTGTCCATTGTCGATCCCTACGCTAATTAAATTAACTTAGTCCCTCAAATTTTTTAGTTACGAAACCCTACTCAAGCAAAGTTGATTTTGCCATCATATATATGTGATGCTGACATACATGTAAGTAAATTATATATGTATATATGTGATATATATCTAGTGGTGTATTGATCAATATATATGATGATTGGAGTAATTGAAATTGGACAGTATGTGTCCTATCACGCATGCACTTAATTTAATTCTTATTAGGAGTAATTGTTTAAGTATAATGTCATCAAGTTCACCGAAAAAGTATAATGTCATCAATTTCATTCCTTTCTTTTTGGGAATATGGATAAGAATCACATATAGTGAAATGTTGAGAGTGTGAGCATATATATCTATATAGACATAATGTTAGTATATGATTATGCATCCAATTTAATTTCAAGTCGTCCTAAAAATTATGCAAGTTAAGAAATTAAACCTTATACACGTATAATAAACACAATACTAATTATACAAACGACTCTAAGAATCCAATCTATTCAACATATATCAATTATAGGACTCTAAAAATTTGATCTGTTCAAGAAACTTCTTCATTAGTTGTTTCATATATGCATGTAAGCGGTGTGCGCCACTAGAAAGATGCCACTATCATCATTTTAGACATGGATCATGATAGGTGCACATTCGGATCCCACACCCGGGTGTGCATCCCTCCACATAAAAAAAAAAAAAAGTTGGATCGGGTGTTGGATCTTTTTTTTTTTTTTATGTGGATGTTAAGTGGGAAAATCCCACATTGAGTATAAAAATAAAAAGCTTGTAGGTTAAATACAATGAGGGCTACTCCACCTATTGCCAATTAGTTTTAGGTTGGATGCAAACCTTGTGTTGAGCCCACATGCAGGATTTTCAATATGGTAGCAGAGCCCAGGTTCTACTATGGGAAGCTCGTTGTTAGCCCACCTGACAGGACCCGAAGTTGATACCGGACCTACATTTAAGGGGGCGTGTTAACCCACGTGACAGGACCCGACATTCATAGCGGGCCTGCACGTGAGGGCGTGTGTTAAGTAGGAAAATCCCATATCGAGTATAAAAATAAGAAACTTGTAGGTTAAATACAAGGAGGGCTACTCCACCTATTGCCAATTGGTTTTACAAGCCTTGTGTTGAGCACACATGCAGGATTTTCAATAGCGGAAGTATGCATACCCGGGTGTGGGATTCAGGTATACACACATCATTATCCTTTAGACATACAGAAAGGATATGTATATAGTATCCAAAGATAAATTCTTTCCTACGAAATCTGTAACACTAGGGTGAGCC